AAATGATAGCAAAGTCTGGAGGAGAAGAACAGAGCTGCAAGCAGTGTGAATTGGGGGTTCCTTGAGGCAGCAACCAACCCCTGACCTGGGAAGTGCAAGCCACTGTTTTCTAGAAATGGGTGGCTTACATTGTGTTATTAGAATGATCCAGTCTAAGGTTAGACCTAATTCCCGCTGAGAGCCTGCGGTAAACCCTGGAAATTTTTTACAGACACTTTCTAATCAGACTGAGCTTAAGTTATTCTGCAAAAAGGAATAGACAAAATTGTCAGTTTAGATATGCAAAGGCAATAGAGACATTCCCTAAAATGTCTGAAACTGTTACTGTAATAAATTATCATTTGAAAGAGTATTGACTCATGAAAACTCATTACGACACACTTTTCACTATTTATTTTCACATTTGAAAACCCATGCTCTTTTTCCCTTCAAGTTTTCTGTTATTCACTACTTTGCGTCAGTCTGACACCTTAAATCCCAATAAACCCCATTTAAGTTGTGGATGACACATGGCAATATGTGCAAAAGTTAACAGGAGAATGATTACTTTCGGAGCACACTCTATATGGACTCTCATGTTTAGTCTGCAGTCCAGGCTCAATATGTCAGTGATGTCTGATAGGATTTCAATCCAGAACTGTGCTAATTTTTTTCTGCTTGAAAGGCTGATTTAAAATCCATCTTACCCAGGTTGTTGTTACAGAGGCCAAGTGGTTTTCCTCTCTGCCACCCAGGCGCCTCGGCAAATTGTAGTGTTTAGTAAAATGAAACTTGCTCTTGAGAAAGACCAGACTCAAAGGCAGAAAATTGAAAATTAGCCTGCTTTAGAGTTACATACTGTGAGCTATGTGCAATGCTTCAGAGCTGAATTGTTAAATGGCCTTTTAGTTTTTGAACGTAACTCTTTAGATGATGTAAGTTGATTTGAAATGTAGGTGATGACCCTCCTTTCACCACATAGCAGTCTGTCTCTGGGCTGTCCAGCTCAGTAGGAGTGAGTCAGAGCTGATGTCACTCTATTTATAACTTGTTAAGTTTCTCAACACCCCATCAACACGTTATATCAGACTATTTCTGATAATCCCGTCTGAAAATATTTCTGCTATTCTTGTTATCTTCTGGCCCATTTGTAATATCTGCTCACATTACCTTGCAAGACTATTATATTGTTAGATAATTTTGTGGTCCTGCTGCTGAGGATGTTAAATTAGATTGTATTTTTGTCCCAAAAGGACTGGAGCAGGCTTAGGATGAAGTAAGCAACCCAAACGAGAAACTTTCAATCATGTTTTTGAGCATTTGCAACTACAAAGTGCTGTTTCTTCCAGAACAGCCAAATTGATTACCAGCTTAATAGCTTTTCTTCTGACTACTATGCGGGCTGAACTGTCAAAAGAGCTGGAGAAAGCAGCCTCATTGCCATGCTCATGGCATCACAGTCTGCAGGTGATAGCAGATCAGCTTTACAAGCTTGAGGAAATGAAGAAAACAATTACACTCTGCTCCTAGCACATGACCTCTTGGGTTATACACATGCTCCTTTTTTTTCTTACAGGGCTTCATCTTTCTGTCAGCCTCATATTGTGTTGCCCTCTTCCACCTGGGAGCTCAGCAAGACTCAAGCCCAGAGACCTGGCTGTCTCTAGATTTAGCACAGCTTGGCTTTGCTGCAGGGACCTAGGACTCCCATTGAGGGAAACGAGGAAGGCAGTGCCCATTAGTACACACTGCACAAAGTGGGATAAAAAAGCAGGGCTGAGATTTATTTTTGTGATCTCCTTCTATGGGTCTTTTGTCTTCACCTCTGAGCCTTAGGTGACAAGCATACTCATTTCCTTCCTGTGACAGAACTAGCAGCTACGCCCGCCGTTAACTTTAATGTAATTCCACAGACACTATGTCAAAGAACATTCATGTTTTTGAATTGTAAATGTTGTTCTAGTTGTTAGTATATATCCATTCCTGCAGGTCAGTTCAGTGGCACATTTCCAAGACTTTTACACAGGGAGTTTTACTCACCTTTGCTTAGAAATAGACTGAAGACCTCTTAAGACTCTTGTGACTCCCTGCTTAACCAACACAAAACTAGCAGATGTCCACATAATAGCCAACATGGGACCCACCTCTGCCTTAATAGATGCGGGCAAATTCACTCAACAACAATGGCGGACTTGGGAGTTGCAGTGAGTTTCTGAAGCTTTTGAGGTTATTGTGGATTATGAACAAACATATTTTACTCTACAGCCTGGTTAGTTCACACAACTGTCTCGTTTCTCACTCCTGGAGGTTTTGTTTTCTCCCTGCCCTTCTTTATTCTTTTAAAGTCTTTACCTCTCTGCTGTGTTACTGTGCCCCTCGCTTGGGTTTCATTTAGGGTGGCCATTTCTATAGCACCAAAAAGGAGGACATTGTACGGCATATCAATAAATTACTAAGGTGTACA